AGCCTGCTTCTCCCCCTCCCACTCCCCCTGCTTGTGTTCCCTCTCTCGCTGTGTCTCTCTCTGTCAAATAAATAAATAAAATCTTTAAAAAAAATTTTTTTAATTAAAAAAATAAAATAAAATAAAATAAAATGAAACTAGCAATGGACCTGTGGGCCATCTCTTGATCTCTGGGTCCCAGGGTTTTCCATCTGTAAAAATCCCACGGGACTCCAAGCTCCATAAGGGCAGAAACTCTCCCTAGAGTTCACCACTGCATGCCAGGCTTCTAGCATAATTCCTGACACACCATAGTTGAGTGAGTGAATGGACAGGGGTACACCCTCTCTACCAAACTGCCCAGCTCTGAGAATGCAGAGGTCCATGATCCAAACAGAGGCTACAGAAAGTGACACAAGACAAGACGGAGAGCCAGGGATGGCTGACCAGGGCCAGCTTCCTTAGATGTTCCTGGGAAGGGGGTCGTGCTGGAGTTTGGGCAAAGTTGGATGAGCTGATTCAGAGATCCCAGTTGTAATTTCGCTGAAGCACTGTTGAGAAACGTGAGAGGACATTCCTTTTCATTTATCTCTGCCACCTGGTCCTTGACTTCATGCTTTGGTTCAAAACCACCTTTAATCCTGACTGAAGAATTTGGAAAAATCCCAGCAAAAAAAATGAACCACTGCCCCCACCCCCCACTCTTCTATCACTTCCAGCTCCCTGTGGAGCTTATTCCCACGTCCCTCAAGGTCTCTTGCAGATAATCCCAGAAACATTTACAGCACTTGCCTGGGTATATTTCTTTCCTTTCTTCAGCTAATATACAATTTTGCTATTTACAAAAGCTACAAATGGAATGCAAATGTGCCCGTTTATTTTCCCATATTGTTATCACTGGATTCTGATTTTGAAGGGGGAAATGTTGCATTTGTGAGAACATTCAAATTTAGTATAAATTTCAAAAGGGAAATCTGGTTCTCTCAGTTATGGGAGGTACAGGAATACAATAGCCTATTAGTCTATTCCAACTAAGATATTCTACGTCTTTACACAGACCCCCACAGCCCCCCCCCACACACACTGAACAATTCCTAGCTCCTCCTTCGGAGATGATGATAAAGAAGACTGTTACCACTCTAGTTTTTTCTTAAACATTCTAAATTGCTTTCTGAGCCAGTTCAAGGGTAGTTTGGTACTGGGTCAGAATTTTGGATAAGAAAAATTATTATTTATTATTGAGGTTTTTTTTTTTTTTTAAAGATTGGATTAAAAAGACTGCTTTCTTCTGTGTGGAGAGATGAAAATTGAGATTTATGATTACGATCTCACCAATGATGGAGGGTGTGCAGTGAGTGAAGATAAATTTGTTCCCTGAATCCTGACATACCAGAATGAAGGGCATTCGGTAAAAATCAAAGGTGGTGCCTATTTACAAATCCATTTAGAACTGCCCAATGGGCTGGAGAGGACCTTGGCATTCCCACAATCCCAGAAGTCACCGAGGCCCAGGGGAGGCCGGCTGCACTGAAATTCCCTTTCTGCCAACAGAGCTTATCTTGGGCAACCGAGCCCTGTCTGAGCCTCAGTTTCCTCCATTGTAAAATGAAGATGATGGTACCTGTGTAAAAGGATTGCCAAGAGAAGTCTTTATTACCCCCAAGACGTAGTTCAGATGAAAACTCTCCATATCTGGAGTGAAAGGCACAGAGAGGTTAGTTGATGTGTAAATGATACATATGGTTTTTGGGTTTTCAGGACCTTCAACTCTGGTTGGGGGTCCCCACTCTTGAGGTCAGCGCCTAGAAGGAAAAGCATGCCCTTAGTCAGAGTCGGAGACAAGGAAGAGCTGTCCGATTGCTGCGTGTGATTCTAAGGGACCCCTTCTGGGCTCTGCAGAGCTCCCTGCTCCTCTATCCCTCATTCATACGAACTTCCCAGAACCCTATCAGTTGCCTGAATAGCTAATCTACTCCATTAATTTGAGTTAAAATGTTAGTGGGTGGTAATGACTTTTAATTTGCTGCCACTCCCATATAACTCTTGTGTTTTAACCCAAACATTCAATAAGTTAACCTAAAGAAGTGATTACTGTGAGTTCTCCCAGTTTCTTAGAAAGACCAACGCAGGAAAAGGGACTTGTTTAAACAGAGGGGTCAGGACAGCCGAGCCAAGTGTGTGCCCATGTGGCAGTTTATACCGCATGAGCAGACACGACACTTGATGCCAATCCACTCATCTTCCCTCTTTCCAGACCCCAGGAACAAACTCAGTTTTCAGAGACAGCCTCGAGGCAGTGAGCATGTATAGACCACCATAAAAGGAGCTGGCCCACGTCGATTCAGATGCAAGTGCTGCTTCCAGACAGCATTCTGTGGTCAGCTATGACCAGGGTGCCTACCACTCTCCAAGTAAAACCCCGTCTCAGTGACTCTCAGTGCAAGGATAGGCTCAACATTACAAAGCTAGCTCTTTCCCAGCAGGTGTACTTGATGGATGTTGCTCTGTGGCTCTCGTTATAAGGATTTCTCTAGAAGGGATGGAAGTGTTCAACAGTTTCCACGTTTCCTGTCCACTCATGATGACTCTTCTCAAGTGAGTCCAGAGAAGGGAGGCCCTGAGCCTGGGATGACAACTGGGTCACCTAATAGGAGATGGGTACACTCTGTTGTCACAGTTGCGATCTGGGTGAATTTAGGATCACAGCAATCTCTCCATGATGTTCAGCATAGTAAGAGTGTAGTTGGCTGAGAAGCAGAGAGCAGAGAAGAGGGAGGCCAGCCAGTTTCTTCTTGCTCTCTTGTGTGGTCTTATTAATCAATTATAAGCTATGCAGGAGATCATAGTTGTACTGTAGCTTGCTCACATCCCACACCATAATTACAGCTGTCTTCCTCCTAAAGCATGAGCCACTAGAGGGCAGGAAATGCCTCTCTCTCTTTCTTTCCCTCTCTCCCTCTCCCTCTCTCCCTCTCTCCTCTCTTTGTAGCTCTAGCCCCAAGCACAGAGTGTCTAGCACAGGGTAAGTGCTCAATAAACATTGCTGAGTAATGAAGTCAACAAATGAGTGATTGAAATATGGAGCAGCATAACAGGTGCACCCTGTTTTTACCTCTCCCTGTTCAGATACCACAACCATTCATCTCAGAAAAACAAGACAAAACAACAACAAATACAATTCTACAACTCCTTAACCACCCATCAAGCAAGACAAGGGAAAGATCAAGGCACTCAGAAAAATTGGAGACATGATGGTTAAAACCATGTGGTCAGCCACACTGATGGTAAACCCTCTTTTGATGACTGTTACCACCTCTAATGGACCGGGAGACTGACATCCTACGTTGTACTCAATATCACAAAATCTCACTCCAAGAAAAATAGGTGGTATTCCAGAGGAGCTCACTGTAGGAGTGGAGGTACACAGATTTTGTAAGGGGCTAGGAAAGAAATGAAGTGCGGTCATGGGGATCAGTGCACCCCTCCTCTGGGGAAAAGACATCTGTTCCCCACACCTAGAGCTTTCCCCCTTTTTCTGGGCTGCTTCCCTCTTCTGCTCTCCAGGCAGGGTGATGGGAACTACTCTTGCAGGGGAGAACTTATCTTGGCTTCCAGGGTCAACAAGAGCTGTCCAGCAGCCCCCTAACTTGGAAGACTTCCTCCTGTCCCTCCTTCCTACACACAGAGGCAGAAGGACTCTGGGCACAGGCAGCCCTCTTACCCCACCCCACCCCCAAGGGCTTCTGAAGGGACTTAGCCACTGACATCCCCTCCCCAAACCCCTGTGAGAACTGGTTCTGTGTGGGTGGTCCTGGGGGAAACAGCCAATCTGCACCTCTCCCCTTCATTCCTGAGTCCTTTCCAAGCAATTAGGATATTCCATATAGCTTCTTGAACAGGACCCTTTTCCCTAAACTCAGACCTCAAGGACCCTTTCATAAACCAGATGATCACTTCTGGGAAGTTACATTTCCTGATTTGAGGATTGTTACAATTAGTGCAACAACAACAAAAAAAAAAATAGGTAATTATCTAGTTCCAGTAAAACTTAATGGGGCCCTTCCCAGGCTAATGGTTGGTGCAAAATGTCATTTGAGTTAAATTGTCTAAGGCTGGGGAAGCGAAAAATATTAGGCTCGGGGGGCATTACCCCTTGTGGGAGCCATATTTTCTAGCAGGCCTTTAGATCAAGATAGGAACCCCGGGGCGGGAGGAGGGGGGCGCTACTGATTTTGCAAGGAGAGGGCAAGAGCTGGGGAGGCAAGCCCACCCCAGAGTCAGAAGGGCCAGGGCTGAGGCAGGGCAGGGCGGATGCTGAGTCTGCCACCGTGGGTACAGCAGCCACTCCAGAGTTCTAGCCAAGACTGCGTGACCTCAGGCAACTCGGGGAGCCTCTCCGGATCCAGTCTCGGTTCTGTCGGTGGTGACCAAGATGACCGCCCGGAGGGGGTGGCTTTTAGGGGGCTGAGCACCTCGCCCACAGATTGCAATCAGCATCTCCGCTGAAGTTGGCCTATCTTGGATTATCTCTTCTCTCCTCCCCTTCCCCCACCACCCCTCCTAATTCGTCAACTGCCGAAACATCTGCCTGGTTGAAACCGCCTCCTCGCCGAGCGCCGGGGGCTGTCCCCAGGTGTAGGTCTTTGTGTCGCCAAAACTTTGCGAGAAAGCGAGGGCGCTGGACAAAGAGGAGCGCGGGAGGGCGTTTGCCAGCGGGCTGGGGACGCCGGGCGGTGCGCACTCTTCCCTGGGTTCAGCTCGCTACCCGGACGCCCGCGGTGCCCCGAGCCCAGCCTCCCTCGGCGGGGAGTGGCGGTTTCTGGCCACATCCGAGCGCCCTGGGGAGCTGAAAGAAGCCAGGCGGGAGGAGCAAAGGCGGATGGCTGGACCTAGGAGTTGACTAGGGTGGGAGGAGGCGAGCAGAGGCGCCGAGCAAAGCTGTCAAACTGCACTCTGAGCCCCGCGCGGGGCGGAGGAGGGAGGGGAGGGGAAAGGGAGGGGAGGAGGAGGGAGGGGAGGAGGAGGGCGGGAGCGGAAAGGGAGCGAGCGAGCTCGCCGCGCCTGAGCAACCCCTGTCTGCCGCTGTCGCCGCCGCCGCCGCTGGCCCGCACTCGCCCGGAGCGCAGGGTGTCTGCCCCGCTGCGCGCCGCGCGCGGAGGCTCCGGCGCCTGCCGCTGCGCCCTCCAGCCCCCGCTCCTCGCGCCGGCCCGCGCGGCTCCCGGCGGGCGCGAACCCACCATGCAGCTGCAGTTCCGGAGCTGGATGCTGGCTGCGCTCACGCTGCTCGTGGTCTTCCTCATCTTCGCAGACATCTCGGAGATCGAAGAAGAAACCGGGTAAATAGCTGCGCCCAGGCCCGTGCAGAGCCCTGGCGGGATCTCTCCCACCCCGGTACTCCGCCCCCCACACCCGCTTTGTGTGCGCCGCGCCCCCCTATCGCTCAGCTGGAGAAGTGGGGGAAGGTTTTGGCCCGGGGAGGCGGTGCCGGGGGACCGGGACGCTTTGGGGAGCGGAGCATGGGGGCGCGGCTGCCGTGGGGTGTCCCCAAGCCGGGAGCACGGGCAGCCTCCAGCTGGCCCGCGTCAGGGAGCAGACTCGCCTACCCTACCCCCCCTTCCCTAGCGTGTCCGCGAGCGATGTCGCCGGGGTCGAGGGAGGGCGCCGGGGAGTGTCTGGGGTGGGCGGAGGGGCCGAGAGTGGAGGAGGCAGGAGTTTCTTTGTCTCCAGCTCGGCCGCTTTCTCGCCTTGGCAAAGTGGGCAGGGGGCGCGCGGGGATCTCTGCGCTGGGGGAGGGGATCCCCGGGTTGGAACGGAGGGCGGTGTCTCTGCACTGGCTCGCGGTAAGGGGAGTGTCCCCAGTACCTACGGACTGGCACACGATCCTCCCGCCGGCCCGGGAGCCCGGCGTTAGGGCGCCGGCTGGTACCGCTAGCGGCGGAGCGCGCAGGGCTGGGCTGAGACTCTCTCCCTCGCCTGGCTTTGGACGCTCAGCTAACCCCACGGCGCCCCCTGCGCCCCCGGCTTCGCGTGCGCTCTCATTGCGGAGACGGAAACCTTTCGGGAAAGTCTGTATCGCCGCCGGGTGGTCTTCGGGGCCCCCAGGCGCGCTGTCTCGCCCGGGCTTCTCTCCCGATCTCTCCAGAGGTGGGGCGGGACCGCGAGCCCCTGCCCTGGCGCGGGACTTCGAGGAGTGCGCGCTTGCGGCGCGGGACGCACCCGCCGTCGGTCCTGGAGGCTGGGACTCGTGCCCCGCCCGGCAGCCTCCAGCACGCTCGGCCGGGTCTCTCTGCTTCGGCGCCACAAAGAGCGTCCAATCCGCGGCGGGCAGGTGGGGAGGCAGCTAGGGTTCTGAGGGGCCCTGAGGAGAGCTTCCTGGCCCAGGGCAGGGAAAAGGTGAGGTCGCCGAGTGGGCAGAAGGTCCCCTCCTCCTTGGGGCTAGAGCCGAGCCTGGCGCCCTACTTGAGTCCCGCCCCGCGTGCGCCCCCTCCTTTGTCCCATTTGTTTCATTCATTATCAGCTCGAGTTGGAGGGCCCGCTACGCTGACAGGTCCCTCAAAGGGAAATGCCAGGATCCCGAGGCCCTAAGGAGCCAAACCTGGGGCAGGCGCCAACTTCCTGCTTTCTCCTTTTCTCCCTGCCCCTTCCCATCTCAGAAACCCAGGAATTCCTTCTGTGAACTCCACCACACTTCAAGAACCCCTCCCTGTCTGCCTCCTCCTCTTCCTCATCCTCGGTTTCCCCAAAGCTCCGAAAACTTTCACAAATACGGTTCCGTTAATACGTGACGCGCTCCCATGCGGAAATAGAGAAATCCGTTACTTTCCATAGCTGTTCGCCTCAAAAACCAGGGTCGGAGAGGAAATCAGGAAAGCCAAGTCGTGGGTGATGGATGACCCGGTGAGGAGGGCCTTCCTCTTGGTTCTCCCTCTCTTCTCCCAGCTGTGGGCTCTGCTTGGCCGGACTACTTGCTGACCTTGACAGGTGAGAGGGAAGGACCAGCAGCTGCCCATTGTTCTGCTATAGAAACGTAAGAAGTGTGGAGCTCATTCAGGGATCCCTGGCTTACCCATTCACTGAACTTTTACTGAATAGCTTCTACATGCCAGGGACTTTTAATTTTTAAAATGCAATCAGGAAATCATTTTGCACACAATGCTGCACTTTCCTGCCAAATGCTTTACAGAGCCCTCCACCCCCCACTCCACATCAGGTTATTCGAACAGGGTATCCAGGGATAAGCTCCTAGGCCAGAGCTAAGAAGGGCATTTACCTATATATTTAAAACCCAGAGCTCCTCTGCTATGGGTGTGCCCTGGGACCTGTTTCATTAGGGAGGGGAGTGTCTGTTTGGGCTGACCCTGGGAAAAATTGTCAGATGGGTCAAATGTGTAATCTTCTGTGGCATTATCCCTCCTTCTTGGTGTCCCTGTCCTCAGGCTGACCCCTGGCTAGACCAGTTTTGACCCAGGCTTGAGACATCTCCCCCAGTCAATCCCTCCCCCAGTCCCACCCCCAGTCTGTCCCACACATGTTTAAGTGGAGTGGAGGCATATCTGGGATTTGGCAGGGCTGGAGGAAGAAGGACATCGGGCAGAGGACCAGAATCCCAACAGGTCTGATGTCTGCTTAGAAGCCAGGTTCCAAGCTCAGTCACTTTAATCCTTGGAACTACCCCAACTTTGAGTGGCCAGCCAGGGCTCAGTGGGTTAAGGGCCCTGGCACAGTGGCCAGTGAGGGGTGCCAGGAGTGGGGCTCTGTCTTTCTCATCTTATTCCTTCCTGGGAGACCTGGATGCATATTCAAGACCATGGTGCCTCTGAACCAGCCGTGCCCACCCTTCCCCAACTTGATCTCGACCTGCACCAGGGACGATTGCAAATTACCTGCCAGTGTCAGTCCCTGGAAGAAAACATTAGTTCTATAAACGGATGGTTGTTTCTGGAAGGGGGGACCCTATGGTGTTGTTAGGAAGGGAGGAAGGAAGACGTCTCTTTCTGGAGTAAGTGTTCAAGGATTAAGGAATGAGAAGTGAATGAGGAAAGAGAATTGCACACGCATTGTCTGGTGGAACAAAAGTGAAATACACTTTGCTTAAGCTCTTGATCCCCTTTCTTCTAAAATGAAGCTTTTGGTATGGTAGTCTCAGAGGTCCTGTCTTGCCCAAGGGATCATACAATGGGTTGCGAGGGGCAGGTTTTTCTTCCTGAAGCTTTTTCTGAGAGACTCGTTTCTTTTCCTCAGTGATGATTTTCAACTTCTAACTTGCTTGCTTGTGGAAACGCCTCCCTGGGGCTGAAAGGGAAAAGGAAATGTAGAAAGATGAGTTCTCTGCAAAGCACTCAAAGAGCGAATTCAAATTCTGTATCAGACATTGGGTGGGGCTTTGATAAAACAGCCTCCATCAATTCATGCAGTGCCCCAATTTTTAGACCAAGTTATAAGCTAAAATGTTTTTTCTGATTGTCCCCTGAGCTTTAGTCTTGAGGGTAACTTACAAGAGAGGGGAGTGAGGCCTGACTCTCTTATCCACCGAGGTGTCCCCAGAACCCGGCGCACAGAGGCGTTCAATAAACTTCTATTGCACTGGCCCAGTGATGGGCACATATGGTATCTTTGGGCAAAGCAGACACCCACGCAGCCTTAGGATGGGAAGGAAGTGTGAGGTTCCTCCTAGGAAACCTCTTTTTTTACAGTTAGTATAAATGTGACCCTGCGAAGCAATATCGCCTATCCAATATCACACCCTGACCTGGTAAAGAGAGGACAAGCCTGCACAAGTCTCCTTATTTGCAACCCAATGCCCTCATCCCCAAATGAGCTCCTTGAACATAGTCTCTGGTTTAAAAAAAGGTTACTAGTGGGCGCCTGGGTGGCTCAGTCGTTGGGCGTCTGCCTTCGGCTCGGGTCATGGTCCCAGGGTCCTGGGATCGAGTCCCACATCGGGCTCCCTGCTCAGCGGGAAGCCTGCTTCTCCCTCTCCCTCTCCCCCTGCTTGTGTTCCCTCTCTCCTCGTCTCTCTGTCAAATAAATAGATAAAAAATCTTTAAAAAAAAAAAGCTATTAAAAAAAAGAAGGTAACTAGTAATAATAGTAATAATAATGATAATGGTGAAGATGCAGGTGATGATGGTCATTAGCATTTATTGATTTATTGAGTGCTGGCTATGAGCCAGGAGCCATTCCAAGCACTTCATTGATCTTAACACATCTTTTCGTCATGGCAACCCAATAGTCACCTCCCCGGGGCAACAAGAGCTCCTACTGGTCGAACTCTGTGTGCCAGACTCTGGGCTAATGGCTTTAAAGTAGTACTTTGCTCAATCCTCTTGAACCTCTTTAAGTTGGTACTGTGGCTATCTCCGGGTTGTCAGTGAGGAAACTGAGGCTCAGAGAGGTTTGGTGATCAAGCAAGGGACCCTAGTTCTGTGAGAAGCCAAAGACCACCTTGCTAGACTGCCCTGTCCTCTGGGTTCTTTCGCCCTGCAATAATACTACGGAATGGGTCTCAGAACTTAACTCATTTCCCAGGGATGTTGCCCAGGCCGAGAGTTTTCCTAAGAGCGTGGTCTGGCCTCAGCAGCTTGCAAAGAGGGAAGGAGAGTGAAGGAGACTGTGGGAAGGACGGAGGGCTCGTGTGTGTCCCTGAAATGCCCCTTTGGTCCCATCAAGTTCAGTGTGATGCTAGAGGACAGTTTGGGGCACTATTTGGCCCCTGGCTTGCCAGACAAGCTCACGTGCCACAGGCAGGAGCATCCTAGACTCACAGGTGGGGCCTGGGGCTGAAGCTTCCGGAGAGAAGACTCCCATCCATTTGCAAATCTGATTCGGATGTCAATTGAAAGAGAATTCTGGCATCTACACACCATATGATTGGGCACCTGGGGGCCTGGAGCAGGTGTGATTGTAGAGATATTTCGCAACGGGTCCCTGTGAACACTGGCCTATTGGCATGGACGTCTGACTGGTCAGGACAGATGCCATCCAGGCACCCTGGCCAGGGGTCCCTGTTCACCCCAGGCAGACATCAGGCCACGACTGGGGAGAGTTAAGACGGGGGGCAGGGCTAGCTCTGGTCCTTGGCTGTGACCAGGTCTGTGAGGAGGCAGCCGCTGTGGCCATCAGCCAGGAGTGAGGTGAGGTGCACCTTTTGGTGGTGGGTGAGTGCAGGCTGATGTGAAAGAAAATGAGCTCCTCTTTGAGCACTTGAAGTGCAGGCACCTTGTAAGAAGAATACATATTTGCTCAAGACGATGCAATCTTTTTTTTTTTTTGGAAAAAGCTCATTCTTCTTCCCAATCCTGATGTACTTCCCTCTCATATAAACATGACTGGAGGA